TGAATATTACGTATCATTTAAATATGGCTGTGCGAACTGTATAAATGAGCTTATGTCAACAGCAATTTTTGATGTAATATCTATTTAACTTGAACTCATATCAATTGCTTTTCTAACCATAGATAATGTGATTCTAGCAACCATAACAGTTTTCTCCGTGCGGGACATCCAATTTCTCTTGCAATTTAACAGTAACTTGATGCAATTTAACAGTAACTTGATGCAATAACAACGTTGATCCGCGAGATATATCTTCATCGTCGGATTTTTCTCACGTTTGCGGCGGAAAAAAAAAACACGGATACACGCGATAAAGATGTGTTCATCGGAAAGATTACGCTATTAACGTGGATTTGGGTATCGCAATATAGATACCAGGCATATAGGGTAGAACGTCCTTTTCCCAAATCCCAATTTCATCGCTATAATCCTCCGTACAAAACGCCCATCGATATGCGCACGTAACTGTGTATGCATAATCGTCTCGTAGCAGGAGGGACGTATTGAGAGACCAGCAGAATATGAAAACGCATTTATATATATATATATATATATTTGTCCAACGCATCGTTGAAAGACCGACTCCCTTTTCGAAACAGATTTTGCACCAGTATTTTTTAATTAAAAAAATATACAAAAGAAATTGAAAAAAAAAACATGTTTACTTCAAATTTTATTAAACAAACAGAATTGTAAGACTTTTAATAAATATTTTTATCGCTTGCTGAAGCGAAAGGTAATCTTTGAGCGTAATCTGTGAAAATCTCGTCTTTCTTGTGTTGTCCAACAACCTACGTGTTCGAGATAAACCTATCTCACGTACGTATTTGAGAACTCGTCTCTAGCGATTTCATTGTTAGCAATCCGGTCGACCGTGTAATTTCACCTCCGTTCTTCATCGTCTCATTTCTGCCACACCGTCATATGGATATATATGCAACGGAGAATTTAATTAGCCGCGATCTCTAATGTGTGTCCAGTCGCGCATTAGCTTCATTACACAGATATTATTATCGTTTATTTGCACAGATATTATTAATCGCTGAACGTCGCTCGTTTTACCAAGAAAGACGAGGAGTCGATTAAAACGCGATGAATTTGACGAATTTCTTGATTTGTTCTTCCGAATGAATCTTCACCATTTTTCTCGTTAAAATGTCACGTAACAAGAGACCGTGTAACGCGCGCGTAGAGACTTCGCTTAATTATCGCGAACAAGATATGGCGTTCGACTAAATTGCACTTATTACAGACATGTTCCGCTTTTGTATGTGTGTTTGTGCGTTGTTAATTACTTCAATTAAAAGCGATTTTGCATCATTAATTTAAAAAACAAAAGAATCTCCCGCGTCTCAATTTACACACACACATACACACACACACACACAATTGAGGGCAACTTGAACTTATTCTCGAAAAGTGTATTACAATCATTACATTTTACAACTCTAGTGATAATTAATGATTCTCCAGAGAGTCCTTATTAATCGCGCAATCGCGCATAATGGCACTCGCGCAAAAAATAACAAAAAGCAAGACAGTTTTTAATTAATAGCAAGTAATTAAAATGTTTAAGATCTGTGTGTCAATTAGGAAAAATGTAATAATTTACAATTAATAGGATGTGCGCAATAAGATATATATATATATATATATATATATATATATATATGTATATACGTAGAATCGCGCTAATTGGATATTCGTTGAATATTTAGTTAGTGACTTGAACACTTGTGGGAAATGATCGATTTCGCTTCTCCCGAGTAAGGGATGCGAAACGAATTTACACGACTTATAACAAATAAGTTTTTGATTTTTTAATTTTTTATCATTTGTTTTTAAATCACACACATGTTGTAAATAATTATTTTTTATTTTTATCACTACATGTTGTTGATTTTACGCGCGAAATTATTTATAGTATTCCGAGACTTTACGTAACTTTGTATTAAACTATTTGTCATTAGAATTGTTTTTTTATCAAATCTTAATTTCTTCATCACTTGCGTTTTAATTTTGACGTAACACTCACCGATGCAGGCGACGAGCGCCACAGCGAGAATCGGCGGGAAAGCCCTCGAAGACGAAATCATGCTGTTGGCTCTGTGAAGGATCGAAGGGGATGTGTAACTCGCAGCAGAGACGAATGAAGAAAAGTGTCACTTCTCAGCCACTTTTATTCGGAACGTCTACGCGTGGTATCGGGCCGACGACGTAGCCAACCGGAAGGGGCGGGACCGAGACGATGGCCGGCGCGAAACGAAACACGAAAGAAAAAGGCACTGCGTGCACCGATTCGTTTTTTAATCCTCGAACAGAAATCTGCTCGATCTCCTTGGATCGCTTGTCGATCACTGATAAAAAAAACCCCTGTGTAGACCTGGTCCACTCTTTCGGTCAACAACGAGGATCAATCCCGATCGATCCCTCGCTGGAACGACGGATCTGGGGTGTGCGCGCGAGAACAATGTCTTTTCTTCTTCTTTTTTGTTTCAAAGTACTTCAACTTCTATTTCCCGCGCGAGAGCGTAATTAACGCGATGTCCGCGCCTACGATCTCTATTTATTTATTTATTTATTTATTTTTTCTCCTCGTACGTGAAAACCCCTGCGCCGATTAATCGACTAAGAGTGTGTCACGGGTGGTACCCGACAACTCGGTAGGAGAGGGTCGACGAGAGGGGAGGGGGCGGCTTTTACAAGGGAGGCGCGTTCTGCCAGCGTACGTCTGTTGCGGCGCCAACGTCGGACTGACTTTCTCCACGTTACAGCCGCTCTCTGCAGCAGTGGCGACGCGCGGCGTCGCGCGGCACCACGGCGCGTCGTCGCGCGGGTACATCCTGTGTCACGTGTGCGCCTGTGGGCGTGCTCCGGATATGCAGCAGGCCACCGACGTCGACTTGTGCTAAGACTTGAGGCGACACGACGACGCTTCGAAATTTGACGCGCCCGCGCGCTTTCGTATCTCTCGCGAGATGCTCGATCCCGCCGAGAGGGTAGATACCCTCGAGTGCTGGTGTCAGCCTGACATGTTGTCACGTGTCACAAATCGTCGGTACTCCCATGTCGATCGGTTTTGCCATATCATCAAATAACAACGACAAGAGAAACAAGATTCCTATTTTTCATTTGTTAATGGTGACCCTAATTTTATTTGTCCTTCGATTTGAGTGTATTTTTGAATATGAACAATTTTTCACCAGTCTGCAGTTTCGTTTCAATTCGGAATCAGTTTAGGATTGTCGAAGCGGGTCAAGTGTTTGATTGAACTGAATATTGTTTCGGTGACCAACGTGACGTATATATTGTTCAATGCTATATTTAAACAAAGCAATAAACTTTAACATTTTGTTGATTAAAAGAGATACGTTTATTAAAAAGATATTTGCAAATAAACATTATGGTTTTCCGCATCTAACAAAGAACTTCGTTCGTTTTAATTAAAGAATTCTGCGTCTTGATAGAGTTTGCGAGAAATTATTTATGAAGTAACGGAGAAATTATTCATTAAAACGTGCAATATTCATTCTTTAATTAAGGAAGATAAATTTGTCGCGTACTTTAGTAAATTGTTCTTTTGAAAAAACATTTAATTGAAATTGTGAACTCGTCATGAAATATAATGATATATACCACACTTTCAACATATCTTTGACAATAAGTGTGAAGCGAAAAGTCGACAAGAAAAACACAAGTGCTTTCCGAATTACAATTTGCTGCGTAGAGATGCGTTTACAGAACCGTAAATGCATGTTCTCCACCACTGTAGCACATACAACGGTTTACATATCGCGTTATTGCAGTATGCATTCGCGCTGTAGTTATCGGGCGGCACATACAATGTGTGCGCGTGCATATAATGCGGTAGCAACATTGTGTCATGTGGCATCAATCATAGGATTTCCTGCAGGTGAAAGGCCAGCCCTGTTTCCTGTGTGCGAATTTGACCCTCTCCCTCTCACACACATACACACTCACGCACGTATACACACGCGTGCATGCACACACACACACACACACACACATATCTTTTCACTTCTTACGTCTGTTTTTCCTGATCATGTTAGTCAAAATTTGGCAACTTTCTGGATTTTGAAAAAAAATGAAAATATTGTCAAGCACAACAAAAGAGAGAGAAAGAGAGAGATTGTGTTCTTATATTTTTCGAAAATATTTCCAAGCGCGTACATAGAAAGTATTCTCCAATAAGAAAATATTTGCATGTTCTTGAAAAATTACTCATTTTGATGTGTACAATGCAGCGGAATGTTTTGTCGTAAAAAAAAGTAATATTGCGAAATCGGGAATATCACTCAAGTCGTTTTGCTAAGATGTTCATGTTTACGGATTTTCTACGAGCGATATAACTCGCCTCTAAATCATCTCCTGAAAAATCTGAAGCAGCACTGAAAATATCGAGTTTTCCTCGAATACTTTCGTCTAACTTAAAATCCATATGACTAATTTTAAAATCATTAGAACAGCAAAAAGTATACGACAAGAGACTGCTACAATTTTCTTCTGTTATTTTGCAATTTTGGTTTTACACCGGGTAATTATCTGCGAATGATTGCGAATAGGAAGATAACACATCGCGCGCGCGCGTGTACAAACGCAGAGATTAACTCACTCACATGTGTTTAGCGTACGACACACGATCGTGATGAGAATTTAATATTACGGTAAATGTGTGTCTGATTGGAATTAAATTAAAGTACGTTTTGCACTCGCGCACGGTTTGTAAATTTTACGTAATTTTGTGAACCAAATTTTTATAGTTTTAACGTAGAAGGAGTGAAAGAGAGAGAAAAGAGAGAGAGAAAGAGGACAGAACGAAATAATCATTTTTTTTCGTTTACATACAAATATTCAAACCATCATAGTACATGTACTACCATGAATAATAAAATTTTTTCTCGTTGGTTTTACTTTAAAAGAGAATGAGAATATTACTTTGTAATTTAACCGGTAAATGTGAGTCAACGTAATTTGCTATAACGTAAATGCCACAATAAATTGTTGTTATTGTTTATTATTTAATATTATTTGAATTACATTCTAGATTACTATATCAAGAAAGGGAACATATTTGTTTACTAATGTTGAAGACAAAAGAAAAATTACATTAGTATTACTTGTACCTATGTATTTTTTGCTCCTTTATGAGATAAAAACAAAAACTAAGTTTAATTAGATTTTGTTTATTTTTTGTCATTACTTCTTTGTACCGCGTTTGAAAACCATAAAAAATAAAACTTGTATTGAAGCTTAACGTGACGCGTGTTCTCAATTCAAGTCAAAACAACAACAAACTGTCTCCATCTATGGGCTTGAACTGCTCTACCGACAGAGAGACGGCAAAGATCAATGACTGTAAAAGATAAAAGGCGGCACGCCGACACGAATAGTTCTCATTGCAATCTTGTGCGAGACGACACCTACTCACAATTCTCGGAATCACGCAACATCGCTTGGAAAATCGAGAACATTTAGGGAATTTTTTTTTGCCAAGTATCCAGAATTATAATTAACGTGTGTTACTGTAAAAAATTAATTTTTTTCAAAATAAAATTTAATTTTCCTTTTTGCCTTTTCGATATTTGAGCGATCATTATTACTTTTCTTAGATCGATTCCTTATATTGTTGAAGTCCTATTAGTAATTCTCGCGGGGAATTGAAAGTTTACCGCTCTCTTACGAGCAACACAAGATATTTGCTGTGAAAATAAAAATATTCTATCAATCAATTCTGTTTTATTTCCTGATCTTTTGCATTTCCATTGTCGATAGGTTGAAGTATCGACGCGATAGTATCGTAACGCGTATTCGATACCAACACACATCGATCTTTCCCTTTTAACTATACGAGCGATGCACGTCCCTAGTTTCAGGTAACAACGAGCAGTGATAGCGAGGCCGCCGTGAATGGGCGGCCAGAGTGTAAGATGGCGGACTGCGAGTCGGAGGTGCAGCGCTTGCCAGCCGTGAACCAGGACGGTAGTACGAGAAGCGCGGCGACCGTGACAATGGTGAATAACAACGCGCGCGTGCCGCAGCATCCGCCGGCGACCGGACCGGACAAGGATCCGGTTGTCCAAGGGCCGCGGTGCGTCACCATTTACAAAACGGAGACGGGCTTCGGGTTCAACGTTCGCGGCCAGGTCAGCGAGGGTGGACAACTGCGGAGCATCAACGGGGAGCTGTACGCACCGCTGCAGCATGTCAGTGCGGTGCTGCCGCGGGGCGCCGCCGAGAAGGCCGGCGTTCGCAAAGGCGATCGTATTCTGGAAGTGTGAGTACCGTTCCCCAAGAGAGACCGTCCTCTTTCTTCTCTTCCACGTTGTCCTCCCGCGCGTCTTTCTCTGACAATCCTTGGAACGCTCTTCGTCACGAGCGAAGTCTCCTCGTGCGCGAGAGTATGCGGTATTATCGGATGCGTGATGCAACTTTATTAGCGAAAACATTCCGGGCTGTCTGCCAAATTGCAGTGGAATTCGTATAATTGCGTCCCGAAGAGAGTCCTCAGACACGAAGTTTCGGCGTTTTGATACACATCTCGGAATAAAGTCAAATAAACATTTCGTAGCAGATGCATTTATTCACATGATAAGGGTGTGTTACACTGAGAGATATTAAAATGAACGTAGGAAAAATGAAAATGTTAAAAAAGACAAGAGTACAAAACGCGAATGCTCCGAATCAAGTTTCTCGATTTGATATTTTTGGATATCGCAGTCCTTGTAGCTTTTAAATTGTTCTCAAAAATTTCTACATTTAATGATATTTATAACGCATTAACAAGAAATGCGTGTGCGAAAACCATCAGAATATATTTATCTATGTTTATTAGTCACGATCAACATTTATGATATTCATGCCTACACTGATGTAAGTGACACGTGCTGTATCTATCCCGTCGTTTATATTACAGACTATATGTAAATTCAGCTTTTTTTATCAAAGAAAACCTAAGGCTAGAATAAAACATCGCAAAGGTGTTTGCAAGCTGGTTATTTTACAAGACGCTTGCGAGAAACATACCTTTCATAAAATAATAATTAATCACATGGATGCTGTTTTTTTTTTTTTTTTTAACAAGTGAATTGCTAAAAGCTTTATATGTGTATCTTATAATATACGTAAAACTTTTTTTTTTTTTTTTTTTAACAAGTGAATTGCTAAAAGCTTTATATGTGTATCTTATAATATACGTAAAACTTTATATATATGTTCATACATGTATATATATATATGTACATGTATACATACAAAGTCCATGTTTATTAATCGCATTTCGTGGGAAAATACGTTAATCGCAGTCCAGTAATTGTATCGCATATTTATATATCGAGAATTACACACTTACACCGCGGTCTTGCTTAGCAACTAACTTGCTCCAACGATCGCGCATGGTGGTCTCTTGAGAGACTCAACGTCCCATCTGCAGAGATGCGAAAGGCAAATTTAACCGATCGTACGATGCAATTAATGCCAGAGAGTCTCACGTAACAGAGTCCCACATCGACGAACTCGATTTTCCTGTGACCTCGCGGTTTATCTCGCATTTTTCACATTGTTCACATTGTTTCCAAAGTGAACGCAGAATAGGAGTGACGCCGAACGACTCGTACATCCTTATCGCAGGCGCACTTAAAGAAAATTGTTAAAAGTTTTAAAAGTTTTCTTAAAGGATAATTTACTGCATTTTATCAAAAACTGTGGAAAAGCGAGGTAAAAATATGTGAGATTACAGATAAGACAATAATTGGAGCGAATTGTTCGTAACTACGCTAATTAATATTGGCGCGATAAAGCAAATCTCGGAACGCGCGTGCACAATACGTATGTGTGCGCATACACGTGTACGAATGCATCATGTTTCGCTTCGCAAATTCTGCAGCAAGGACGATAAAACGTGCACAATGCGTGACGAACACGCTCATCCGTCTCGTTTATGAAGATTAACAAACACGACAAGTTGCAAAATTTGTCATCGCTGCGCGCGTCTGCGTTTTGAAAAACCGGGTTAATCGGTTGTTGTTCGAACAAATTTTTCTTCGTCGAAAGTAACTATCGGTAATTTTCAGCAAAAAACATCTCATCATTTCCGAACGAGAATTTCCTGTCGCGCTTTTTAATCCGATAAATGGATAAATAAATAAACTTAATCTACTTAAAGAAACTTACTTGGAAAAAGATTTTACAATCGCTCTTCATTTCACTATGTGTCACATTGTTTTTTTTTTTTTTTTCATTATTTTCATTTCTTTGCTAGAAATAAGTACGTTACTTTCTTTCGCTCTCTCTTCAACGTTAAACAAATAACAAAACATTATTATGAACAATGAATGTGAAGTTCATTGTTAAGCACTAATTTTATGTACTTAGCCAATAATCTAATTAGTCTATCAGATAATCTAGTTAGTGTCTTACACTGAAGTTCTTAAATTTGTATTTGTAATTTCGACCGTCGAGGTTGTTAGCGCTCTCGGATTTGCATATCTGATAGTTAGAGCCACCTTGTGTGCGTAATTGTATTCTCTGAGCTGTTTAATTAAGAGCTAATTTGGTTAAAGCATTAGCCGCGCTCTGTTCTTAGTTAAAAGTTATCTATACGTTCGATACAGATTTGTGCGGCAATTTTATTTTGAAGAATTTTGATTTTTATGATAACTTTACGAAGAAAGAATCGAGATAGCATTCACGGAAAATTGCAAGGACGACAACACGCACGACGATATCGATTTCGAGTAATGTACTTTTCACGCGACGTTTATTTTAGAAATGACGTAGTTGAAATTGTACAATAAAACCGATTCGATTAAACATTTAACACGGTTGCAAAAGAGTGCTAAAAGAGCGATTGTACTGTAATCTTTTCATTTCGATAACAACAAAATTGATTTATGATTAGATTAGGAAAACAGCGAAAACCAAACGCGATAACCAAAGTGAATAGGCCTGAGATATCATCGAGATATCGTCTTATATATCGAACGCGCCGATAAAATGCCTCGTTTATTTGCAATGGTGTTTTCGTCGGGGAACGCGGATCGCGCGAACAGAATCTATTTTGCAACTCGCGCGCGAGTCCAAGGTTCCCATAAACTCAGCGCGCGGTTCAAGGTCTGTCGCGCGCTCGTGTGCGAGGATTTCAGCGTGTTCGCACTTTCTTGTTCCACAGGGTCGTAAGAGAATTGTTTTTTTTTTCTCCCGATTCTTGTCCGGGCAACTACCTACGCCCAAGGCGAATCAGTTTGCATCCCGGAACAGCAAGCTGCAAGCCGAAGTGTATAAATATATGTATTAATCACCGTCGCGGAATGGCACCGCGAGAGAATTTGATTCGAACTCCCGCTTCTTTTCTTTCGCCCGGCCAATTTCGCCGTTTCTGCCATCATTTCACGGCGACTCGTCGTCACGTTCACGCGGCCAATTTGCCGCGTCATCTAATTGAATCAAATGATTTTTAATGTCCAGTTGACTGCGCCGCTGCTATATATAGCCAAAGACTCCCGGCTATAATATTCCTTCCTTCTTCTTTCTATTTGCACTTCAATGATTTTATGTTAGCTCACTGATCACATTGTGTTTGCGTAAGCGATAATAGTTTTAACGACAATCGCAAACTACATGCCACATTCCTATATGACTTCTTTTCTTACGTTCTCTGTGTTAATGTCTGTAAAAGGTTTACTTCGCGGTACGGTTTCCCGCATTCGCATATATTACCTTGTTGTTTCGACCAACGAAAATTTATACTCGCCGGTGGAAACAAAAAAAAAAAAAAAAAAAAGAATGACTTAAATTGATAAAGTAGATCAATTAATGTGTTAACTCGGATCCCCGCGTTCGAAGAGCTAACGACGATTTCTGCTCCAACGAGTGCAACGATAACGATACGAATATCAGAGATGAAAGAAGCCGCTTATTGCGCGCGTTCCACGCACCGAGCGTCTGAAAGTGACCCGGTCATTTGCTCGGAACTGCGTTAAAATTTGAAGCTCCGTAATATCGAGAGGGGAATCGCGCCAACGTGGGCGCGAATCATTACCGCCTGCGTGGTTTGTTATCTCAGTTAGCCGCAATTAACGAGGTTCGCGGTTGTATTTTGAAACCCAATGGGTTTTCAAATTGTCTCAACCACGGCGCATTTATTATTCACAGGCCGCGCTTTGCTTATAGAGCAGGAAGCGAAAGAGCGCGCGCTACGCTATCAACACTTTAACACTCATAGTATAATGTGGCGTATCGCAACGTTTTTGTGTGCGCACAAGCTCGCGCTAGTTCACTGACGCGCGCATTATCTTTTTCTAACAGATATTACCATACACGCGGTGTCATTATTGACCGATCCACTTCACCAATTTATCTCCCGGCGGTTTTCTTGTTAGCTGACGAAATTTGTTTTTCGCGGCTATATTTGGCGCTGTGAACGCAAGCTCTGCGAAATTAAAACTTAATATTCAGCGCATGTAACAGGAGAGAGAAAAAGAGAGACAGAGAGAGAGAGAGAGAGATAGAGAGAGGTGTTTGCTTTAAACCGTAGGTTGTTAACGTGTCTGCGTGTGTATGCATTATGCCGATAGAACTTTTCGTGTGTGTAAGTTCAGTTGTAATGTAACGCAAATAGTCGCTACACACGTCACTGAAATCAGGTACGTCAAAGACATTAAGAATTGGTGGCTAATTGTAAACATTTTCTTAAACTCTCTGCATAAAAAAATTTCTTTTCCGCAACGCTACATGCGCCAAATGTAAGAAAGATTGAAGATTTGGAGAGAAAAAAATACAATTTTTAATCGAGAAAATCAGAGCGGAAGATGAGTAAAAAAATAAATACAATATATATATATTATATAATTATATACGTCGTAAAATAAATATTAAAATTTGTAGAAGTTTGAACTGAATTATGCAATGTGCGTACACACGGCTTGCAACGCGAGATTGTTTGCAAGTCTGCGTGCTAGAATATCTAAAGTAGAGATAATTGTCTTGTAATGAGCCACCCGTTACAAACGATAGCGAAATATATAAAAGCGACGCCTGATTTTCTCGCACGCAGATTGTTGAAATCCGCATGCGGCGACATTCGCTATCTCCGAGAGAGTCGTGCCTCCGCGCTCGGACCAATCACGGCCGTCCTTTCACTTGCTGGAATTCGAAACTGCCGTTAAAAAGGCCGATCACCCGTTTATTCTATTCCCTTTCTACGCGAAGTGAAACGATCGTTGGGGAGGTCGACGCTGACGCGCGGAAGAAACGATCGGATCGCGTTTAGTCTGAAGGTCTACTTTGGTTCGGGTGAAAGTCGGGCTTCTCTCGTCGATGAACGTTGAATCGCGCCGTGAATTTCTACTCATCGCATTTTCCGTCGCGATCGATACAAGCCGCCCGTCGAAACGTGCAATTCGTAACAGTTTGCGCGAATTGCCGCTTGCAAAGAGAGATTAACTCGCTATCGCGCTGATAACGGCGCGGCACCGCGCACGAATATGTTAGCGTGTTACATGACCGCGCTGCAATGCGAGTGGATCGAAAATCACGGACGATGGAATCCCTCGAGCTTGCTGAGATCGCAACTGAGGTCGGTCCCGATTTTCCCGGATCGGTATATACCTATGTGTAATAGAATGACAATACGACGCGAATTGTGACGTAACGTGTGTGTGTTCCTCTTTGTTACAGAAACAATGTCAACGTCGAAGGCGCCACTCACAAACAAGTGGTCGATCTGATCAAGTCGGGCGGCGATGTTCTCACGTTGACCGTTATCTCCGTGACGCCGCAGGAGGCTGAAAGATTGGAACCTTGCGAGGATTTGAGGTAAAGGCAATGCGATGTTCGATCTTCGCGAAAAAGTTTGTCGGATGACAAACTTTTTCGCGGGATTCAAACTCGAAGGAAATCGGATTAATTTATTTATCTCTGAAGATAATCAAAATTCTATATATACATTATGAATAATGATTCTTGATGATTCTTATAATCCCAACATAATTGCGTAATTGTTTATCTAAAATATCCCGAGATAAAAAACGCGCACACGTAAACAAATAATAATTGTTGAATTTTCGTCTGTTCAGTTACGCGGCGATGGACTACAGCGAGAAGAGATCTCTGCCTATCAGCGTGCCGGATTATCACGTTCGTGAAAGGAAACACGAGCGTTACGTAGTATTCAACGTCCATATGGCCGGCAGGCACTTGTGTTCGCGCCGATATCGGGAATTCGCGGCACTGCATATGGCGCTGAAGAAGGAATTCATAGGCTTCAATTTCCCGAAGCTACCAGGAAAATGGCCATTTCAGTAATGTCTTCGGATTTCAATCTTATGAAACGCTGAATTCAATGAATGAATCCTTTCACCAACTCGACGCGTCATAATTGTGTGCGAACGCAAATTGCTCGCACTGTGTACTTCCGTTTCTCTTTCTCTCTGAAAGATTATTCAATGAAAAAACACGATCTAGTTCGTGTGTAACGTTCGGAGTAACGATTCGCTGACATTGCAGATTGAGCGAGCAACAGCTTGACGCGAGGAGACGCGGTCTGGAACAGTATTTGGAGAAAGTGTGCGCGGTGCGCGTGATAGCGGAGAGCGACGCCATGCAGGAATTCCTGACCGACAGATTAGAGGAGGACGGCGATCAGGGTCCGGCGGTCGATCTCAAGGTTCTCCTGCCGGATCGAGAAGTCGTCACCGTTACGGTCCCGAAAGCGGCGTCGGTGAAAGACGTTTACGACGCGGTTTGCTGTCGCGTCGGATTGGACGCGGAAACAGCCAAGTATTTTTATCTATTCGAGATTGTCGAATATAATTTCGGTACGCAACTATGCTATTACGCTCGAACATAACCGGCCTGACATAACGTAAACTGTTCCAAATATATACGCGATAGGTTTTTAACGAATAGCGGCTGTGCATTTCAGAGCGGAAGTTGCAACCGCACGAACACCCACACACTTTGTACATTCAGAATTACTCCACCGCGAGCGCGACGTGTTTGGCAATACGAAGGTGGCTCTTCAATGTAAATAGGCCTCTGAGCGAGCAGGCATTGACTTGGATATTTTGGCAAACAATAGACGAGGTTAACAGAGGTCACATCACCGCGGGGGAACGATTGTATCAACTGAAAGCGCTGCAAGATGCTTCCAGAAAGCATGAGGTTTGTTGAAAATTATCGCGAGAGATCGTGAATTTCGATTACGTTATTTTTGTCTGTATGAGAAAAATTTTGTTTTTCTCGTTTTATTTGCAGTATCTAAAACTGGCGAGGGAACTCAGCGGGTACGGCGACATTGTGTTCCCGCATTGCGCGTGCGACTCGAGAAAGGAAGGCCACGTGATACCTGCGGTCGGCACGGCGGCTTTCAAGTTGCACGCCGCGAAGGAGGACGGCACGTTGGAATCCCAAGTGGTGGAATTTCAATGGAGCACTATTAATCGATGGGAAGTGGACGAGGACGGAATGGCGTTCTGCTTCCAATACACCCGCCAGGATAATCGTCCGCCTCGTTGGCTCAAAGTCTTCACTCCTTATGTGAGTATAGCGATGATTTTATTCCTAAACTAACAGTTTTTTTTTTCACGCTTGGTCGTTTTTCAATCTACGTTTTTTTATGATTTGATACATACGCTTGCAGTTCACGTTCCTCTCGGATTGCTTCGATCGAATAGCCGAGGAAGCGAAGTGGGACGATCCGGGAGAATGACGTAGTGTCCAACGCTAAGAGACATCGCAACGTTGATCCGGTCTCTCCATTGGATATCTCGCATTCGTCTCTATAGTCGAAATTTTTTTTTTTTTTTTTTTTTATTAGAAATAGAAAAAACAGAAACGTCTAAAAACAAACCGGTGCCGAGTCAACTTAGTAGCATGTGAAATTTCTTTGTCCGTTAAGATTAGTATATCTTGCACCAATAGATGATTTGAATGTTCACGTTGCATTATCGAACGCGAGAAAGAACTCTAGAATCATCCCAGTGAAACCAATACTTCTGCTATAGGAGTTCGGACGCGAAGTGACATTTGAAATATCACTCGCGAGTAAAAGATTCACTCTCTTTCGAGAACAGAATCTGATGCGCGGAATGTACAGAGACCGAGTTCAGTACTTTCGTTTATTGCCAGAACAAACTTTTTTTTTGTCCCTGAAACACATACTGTGCTTTTTTTTTCTTCGTGAAGGACAAGATTGCGAAGACACATTGAAGACGAGATTGTGAGAGAGATTCACAGAGTTCGTGTACAGATAGCGTAAAAACTATTGCCATGGGTATACGGTAGCCTAGATTTATATCACATTCTTCTCTTTCCGGCCTATGATTTTAAGTAGACGTGCAAGCATGCAGTTTGATTGTCGACAATCGATTGAATTGCGTAAACGTTCCTCTTGATTCGCCTAATAGACCCGAAACTTTTCGTTGGATCTGCACGAGTGCGTTCAGCGGAGAAGAGAAATTACATTTATCTACGATACTTCGTGCATTTTCTAATGTGCAATACTTCGTATAACTCAATACGTGTGCGAACTTCTCGTCAATTTCGTCACGCAGGATAGTTTAAAAACGAGAAATATATCGCGTGTTTTTCCGAATGATTTCAACTGCGTAAACAGCACCGACGGCACGTCTAATTCACTGCTGCGGTGATAGACTTTATTTGTGGTTTTTTTTTTTTTTGTTTACAATTAAGAGTTCAAAGAACAAGAGGTCAGAAAAGCGTGTGGAAGTTTTTGCAAGAATAGATACATATCACAGACACTCATCGATAGTTTCATTGTGCGATATTAACGGAGGGAAGGTTCTTCTTTTAAATTATCTTGTGTGACAAGAACAAAATCGATTATTAAAACGATTGTAGTCGGCTCAATGATTTTTGTTCATTTATCGACATGTAAGAAACAAAAAAGATCGATCAATCCTCTACACAATTTGTTAATTTATTTACATATATGTATGTGTGTATGTATGTACGTGTGTATGTGTGTAGAAACCTTAGTGTTAATAAGAAATAAAGGACAAATTGTAAATATCAAGGTTACAAATATACTTTTTGAGAAGAAGACTCGGTTTAACTGTTGTTTTGATAAAATCGATATACGATTATCGAGAAGATTAATAACCGCGTTTATCTCGCGCGGATTCGATTATCATGCAAACCATGTATACAAGACATCTACCTGTGCAGAGGATTGTGTATAAACAACAAACAATCGAAAAACTAACTTTTAAGTCGGTGTTTTCGATGGAAACTTTATCTCGGGCTATTCCTCCATCTCTCATTTAAATCTACAAAGATAATATAAGATATAGAACAAAAAAAAAAATGCGACGTTAGTGCTCATGATTCGAATACATATAACACATAGCGCGTACGGAGATTTAGCGGAGATGCGGCGAAAGGAAGCCGCGCGAAGACTCGGAACAATAATGTAGTGAGATCGCACGCGGTTACGATGCGTAACAGATTCCTCAGATTAGTCGAAGGAAATAATACTCATTTACTAATGTTATATATAAAACGGATACCGATAACGACAGCGAGTAAAAAAAAACATATATATATATATATATAAAGAATAATGTTAGAACAACACGAGATTCTGCTCGCGACGCGTCGACTCGGATTTCGCTTCGTGACAATCCGGTCGACACATAGGTTTCACAGTGGAAAGCGAATTTTCGGAGCGAGTTCTCTCTCCTTGCACATAAATGCTTTGCGATGTGACGCTCTTGTCCTCTCTCGCTGTGAGACTTCCATTCGTTCCGAACATGTCGCTTTGCTTTTGACCGCGCGGAGCAGATAATAAAACAAAAAGATATATTATTGTCGTTAACGTTTTTAAACTTTATTCATGGCGTATCGCGATGAATGAGAGTGATGCGTGTGGCAAATACAAGACTCGAAAGAATGATGAGACATTATATATATATATATAGATTATATATATAAAAAAAAAATATATATATATATATATACAGATATATATATATGCTCACGTGGGAGAGTATATAGTTATATAATACTGTTAATGGTAATAGAAATATACAACATAATAATATAGCGATATATATTAATTATAATCGAACGCGAGAGTATTCGAGTGCAAAACACACGCGCAAACGTCGAAAACGTGATTGGAACAATGCGCGGGATAATTGATACAAATTAATAATTTCCATTGTTCCGAGAGAAAGAGAGAAATAAATTTTGTGTAGAAAAATCCGCGCAGAATGGTCTGCAAAAGTGTTGTGGAGAGGCGTGGCAATATTATTGCAAGCGAAATATTCTTGGTAATAAATAAACCGAATAAACCTTCGGATTTTGATCTCCCACCCCCCCCCACTTTGTAACTTACGAATCAAGAATATAAAACAAAAAAGTATTGCGATATATAGTTTTGTTGAATAATACATAATAATAATTCATAATAATAATGTGTACAGACTCTGATATACATATTTGATTAAGTCGTGATATCGTTGAGACGTGAAAAATCTGAAGGTCTTATTGCTTATTATATTACCGACGAGCAATTTGAGAAGATTCTTAATACTATTTGATTATAATCGGTGAAGTGATCGAATAAATATAATTTTCGTAATGCAACACGAAAGAAAGTCTGTGGCACTTAAATAGCCACGTGTCTGAAAGATGGCAATAATATTTCCGACAAAATTGTGTCACGTAGTTAATATTAGCACTGAATATTTTTCAAAAAAAAAAAAAAAAATACAAAGGTGGGAGTAGATGAAAGATAATCATACTAAGGAATACGTCCAAATTGAATTGAAAAACAACATGATTGCGCGAAAGATCTGAAAATAGTTGAATTAAATATTTTACACATGTATAGTTTTTCTAGATTTTGCTATATTTATTCAAGTTTTTTTTTTGTGACAAGTTTTGGTAGACGTCAACAATTGTCTTTCACACGTGAAAATATGTTTAAGAAAAAATATATTTTTTAATTTTATTTTCTATCATGTGGGTTTAGTCTGATATGTTTCTCATCAGAAGATCGATTATTGAAAATTATGATTGTACAATATTATTATTTGTTAATAGAAACGAGTTATTAACGGTAATTAACCGAGATAACAAGCGTCTATTGGACGCAGAGAATGACGAATTAGATAATTTAATTACTGTTATTGCAAGACCATATCATTACGGTGTTAACTCTTTAGACGTTAATTAAAATATTCTGTATAATTGTAGTATTATGCGCGTAAAATAACAATTGCTCCAATTTATCGTGTAACATCAGTTCGCGAAACTTTTGCTGTAAAACTAGTATTTCTAATTAGCGAGAGGTATTATTATTCGATTTCTTTATGAGCCATCTTATTGAAACTGTGAAAAATAAAAACAGAAGAAAAATGGAATTTTCTTGTTTCCTGTTCAACTTAATAAAAATACCTTGCCTTTTAATTATGCGTTATGGATATCATAGTTTACGCAATGAATTACATTACTTGAAATTCTAGCAGGAAATATGTATAAAAGTTTGTGGTCTTACGTCGACACGTCTGTACTTACCAATACAATTGTCATTATATAACACGGTAATACAAACTGTGTCTAATGACGTAATAAGCTCATGTAGATAAATAATATCTGGATTCTTTGTGAAAAAAAAAATAACTAACAATTTATGTTAGAGTGTAAACCTCAATTTATTCTATTTATATATGTATATATATATAAGTTGCATGACAAACATTCTTGTTTTTAACGTTAAAATTAAGTGGTATAGTTGTTTAATAAATATCTAGAGAAATGCATTAAAATCATTTAAATGTATATACAATCTCTTGAAATGAAAAATTATGAACGTTTCACGCAATATTTCAAGCGTGCGTATTTGTAAGACAACTGACTGCATAGTAGGAAACGCAACGACGTTTCTCATTACAATGATTGCATTATTATCTCAGATTAAAGGTCTCTGTCGTAAACTATGTAAACACAAACAAAGACAAAGTAGGTCGTGTACTTGCGACTTTGCGAGATTAGAATGTTTGTGTGAGTGTACACAGAAAGGGGTATATACACTTCTACGTGAATATTCCTTCACAACTCGTGTATGCACGTGGTCTCGTGTATACACGCAAGTCAGTCTAAGAAGATATCGCTAAGTGACTGCCGATATATGGAACGGCGGATCAGTTCAAAACCACCTGTCCTAGAAGGTGGAGCATCTCCGCGAAGACTAATCACTTATCGCGGTGATCGCGGATTTAATCTAATCATCGTCTTAAACACCAGCCCGTTTGTAGATATCTTGAAGAAGAAATGGATCGCATTAAAAAAAAGAAAAATAAGAGAGGCGGCGAAAAGGTAATTGTTTATAAATCGAATTGAATTGGATTGTGCGGATTGGAGTTTGACAACTTGAGCGCACATATATTGTTATCGCAGAAAATGCGCAGAATGATCAAGATCATTTTTAGAAAATGCTCGTCTTATCAAGATGTTTGTCGAGATAGCAAAAGAAGAATTTGACTCAAAAAAATTTTTTTTTTTTTTATTATTACCTAGTGCTAAAAAGTAAGAACACTTTGACGTTTTCTGTGACACTTTGTTATAAAAATCCAATTATTACAATCCGACAGGTTCAATTATAAAAATTTTTTAAATTTATCTACTAGTAACACTACAAGAACTATTTGATGCTAAATGACTGCATTTTAGTCATTTTTATTGATCATCACGAACAACTAGTGGACAACAGCTAATTCGGTTTATTAATTTTCTTGAAAAACTGTTTGTTTCGCGTTTTTACATCCAACATATGGTAACTAGTTATTTTTTCTATTTTATTTTGCAAGAAAAACATATATATATTATTGCAAGTAAAAATAACACACACATGCATTAACGTATCATATCCGCATTATTATGACAAAGCTGTGCTAAAATAGAACATATTGTTTTAACGGTACTGTTAATTTTTACTAACTCTATTTTTATTAACGTCATTTTAATTTTTTTCCTTTGTTAACGCAGCAAAAAAACTTCTTACAAAATAAATTGCGACACAAAAAACGAATTTAATGGTTATCTATGCATTCTTTCATCATATATTATCGTTGCGAAAGTTACATTCATAAAGTCGTACTGTTGTTTTATTTAAATACTTGGTTTTTGCTCAAATAAATCTTTGAAAAAAATCTCAATCTAATTTTCACGAAAAATGCATGTTAATATTTTATTAAGACCATCGACAAATAGTTTTATTTTTGACCTAATGTACTTAGTAATAAGAGGAAAAGTTTCTTGCGTATTTCATTAGACATTCCACTCATCAAGGAAAATGCGTGGTAAGAATCGCATTATTTCGTTACGCATTATTACGTTAATTCCAATTTTCGAGCAAATAATACGTTTTGAGAGATAATAGTTTTACGTATAAAGTGCTTCAAACGTACATAGATTTGCATCAAAGTAAAACTAACGTCACAAAAAACTTTTCTGTTCCGCAACGCTTGATAATATTTTATTTTGAACAGTTCTTCTTATGTATGACAGAACAATCACGTAAATAGTTACTCGTTACAGATTACGCTTCATTACGTAATAGAGTTAGCAGAAACAAATCGAACTGTCAAATCGTTCCACGTGATTCATCCGTCTATAGCCTGTGTGTTCGTTTTGAACTCCGCCGGTGACTGTATGTCAAGCGTCAAAGCGTCATCGACGCGTAAAATTAAACGGTTTCTGCAAATGATCTATGAAACATGGATCATATGTTATTTCATCGCTAAAGAATTATTAGTATAATGATCATATACTATCATTAAGTTAAAAGTTTCAGCTGGTAAAAATAAAAGTGAAAAAGATTCAAAATTCATCAAGTCTACAAATTTAAACACATTCTTATAAAACTAAATAAAATTCTTATTTTTTGATATTTAATTGCACACATTTCTGTTTTATTATTGTTAAAAAATCGCAGTGTTTTTAATTCCAAATAAATGTTAACTTAGAAAACATTTATTGAGCTTCTTGTTTCTAAGTATCGTTTTGTCTTCTCTGCACTTTTGTAATTGGGAGATCGTCTCACATCATCCCAGTTGAATCAAACACGAAGTGAGATGGAGCGCATCTCCACTACGAATAATTCTAATAAGACTTAACAAGTTCACATTACCACAGACGGTTTCAGTGATCGTCATTCTCGCGTCCCGCTCCTCTCGCGCTGCTCTTGCAGCTCTTCTCATCATACCATCTCTGTTCTGCGACGCAGAAAGTGCTGCTGTCCATCGTCGATCCTTGGGATGTGAAGGTGGCCAGTGTCGATCCGGTCGGACTGGCCGAACGACGAGGCGTCTCCTTGTCTGTTCTATCTTCAAACCAGGACGAAGATATCGGCCGTGTCCCTCAGGAGTGGTTGACGTTAAACAGGTCCAGGATACCGTCACCTTGGTACAAACCGAGCTCATCAGGTCTCGTCAGTCCAGCCAAATCCGAAGAATCGACACTGAACGATTCAACTTGGCTAAATCCTTGGTATTCGCCGCAGAGGTATAACCTTGGCTTTCGTTTTTATTTTTTTTTTTTATTTCACGCACAATTCAAATTGACATTAAAATGTAGTCACAGTCATTTCGTGTTGTTAATGCGAATGAGATTTTTGGTGTAATATACAATTTAATCTTAAAAATTTGATAAGATATTGTTTTTATGTTGATAACAAATGTTTTCTTTATATCTCGCTTTTATATATACATACGTTTCCACTATAAATTCTTTGTAACATTCATTGTTATGATATTATAATATTGTTATTAATTGAGCAAATTTTCTTAAATTCAATTAATTTTGATAATTTCAATTTTTACTTTGCTCGCGTTTCAAAGATCACCTATCGACAAGACTCACAACTCACCATCGCCAAGACCATCTAGAATAAGATTACGAGAGAGCAAGCAACAAAAGACCGACGAAACAAGGCGCAAAGTCGAGGCGGGCGAGGTCGACAACGGATTAATCAACGGCTCGCAGGAAATTAGCCACGGCAGTGTCGACGATGTGGACAGTACAGCGGTACGAGTGCGTTTCGAGATTGACAAAGCGGAGAAGCCGCAGCGAAATGGAGTGCGACGTGAGAACGGGCAGAATGTCGATGCGCCGCGAGTGTTGATGAAAATTCAGAACGTGAACAACAATTCGAAATCCGAGAATGAACGGAGAGTAAACGCGAGACAGAATTACGCGAACGGAGTGAGCGTGGAAAAGAGGAAAAGTTTATGTAAAACGGACGATGTGGAAATCGGTGAGAATGAAAGAAATACGAATAACGAACGGGACGAACGTGATGATTCGCAGATAATTGAAGAAAAGCCAGCGATTATCGACATTATTCAACAGTTAGTAGAATCAAGGTATAAAAAATACACTATAATATACTATAATATACTAAATTATTATAAAATAAATTATAATCATGAAACGCGCGCGCGTAAAAAATTGTAAAGTGTAGAAATAAGGAAGATATTACAAATGAGATATATTTCTTAATAATATCATTACTTCGAGACAAAAGAATCAATCGTAATAAACTTTTTTGCAAGTCAAATATTTAATCATCTGAATCAAAACATTATATAAACATTTTTATAAACATGCAATGCTCTTTTTAAATTTAAAGTGTACAATTAGTTTACACGCATTTTACACTTACGGTGTAAAACAGCGTTGTATTTTAAATAATAGAATTTTGCAATAGTCTATTTTACGTTTCGAGGTACATGTTGCAAACTGCGACAGAGAGAAGACTAAAAAGGATGCCGTCATGTCGTCAACAGGAAACTTCGAAGAAAATAGATCCAGTGGGTAAGACGGCAGTCTTTATGTGTTAAAATTATCTGTAGTCGACGTTAATAAGATAAATCAAAGAGAGTTATGTCGGAATTAAAGCGAGATCTTCCGGTAGTTTCGGCTTATTAGGGTTGTTCATGATCAGCCAATGCGCCAACCACAATACAGGATCAGCTGGTTTAGATCTGCAGCACTGTAAAAAAAAATTAAAACTTATTTAAAATTAATCGACAAAACTTGGAGAATAAAAAAAAAACAAAAATATATTTTAGAAAACATTGTGTATCTTTATAGCAAAAATTGCCTCAGTTAATCCTTCGATGAGAATTGGATTAATGACTTTCCACAAAAAGTTCTCAGCCATTTCGTTACTTAACAAAGGTTCAGTTATGACTAAAAAATATTTTCCACAGATTTAGTAATAAAATACGGCTAAGTATTAAAAAAAATTTAGTATTAGAAAATACAATACATATAAATACATATATATGAAAAAAAACAAAGAAAAATAATTTTTACACTCGGGAAAGAAGAAATGAATCTCTTTTATAGCCTCTTCGCGACTGTTACTGCCGTGAACAGCGTTCTTGATGCTATCTCCTTTGCAACCGTATTTCGCTCTGATACTGTCAGGAAAATACAAACGCGCTTGAGCCACCTAAAATAGTTTTATTTTTCTTCAAATGTTTTTGTAATTTTTTTTTTCATAAAAAAAATCAATTATGTGTGTAAGTCTTTAAAATTAATTCCTAATTTTAAGTAAACTTCCTATAGAATACCGTTGTCGGTCCCATGATTCTCTTCCATTCTTCCACCGCGTTTTGCTTCGCCAACACGAACACTATAATAGGTTTAGAGGACATGTAGGCTATTAAATAAGGAAAACTCATGTCGCCGAAGTTATTGTTGTAGAATTCCGAAGCTTGTTCCGGTGTAAGCTGCAGCCAACGAGTCTGACAGATCTCAAATCCCTCCGTGTATATTTCATACTCGATCTGTTTTCTATAAACAGTCGCTTCCGGCTTTATTATAGCCAAGGTTAATTCGATATCCGGTTCTTTTTCAGCAACATCCTTAATTCTGTTAATTTCGTGACAGATCGGTGATTTACAACCGTTTTCGACTTCCTCGGAACAATTGCATTTTGATAGACAAACAATATTATACTGCAAATTTTTAGTAATGTTTATTTAATTGTTAATTATACATAAGTATTAGAATACGACAAATAATCTTTTTTATTAGTAACGTTATAACGCGTTTTTTTTTATTGTCAAAAATATTTTTTATATGCAACGTCGTACCGTTTTGCTCGTGTCGCTGGAGGATTCCGAGCTTGATAACGTCTTTGTAGTGTCGTATGACGTATCGCTGCTATTATAGTGCGCCGAATCGATCGGTAACCAACCGGTGCCGGGAGGTCCTTGATCGAGGATATCTTTTCCAGGGCGATACGGCTTGGGACATTTTGAGAAAATAGTTACCGTTTCCGGACTAATTTTGCTGACAGTTTTGTCATCCTTTTTTTCTGGACAGTCGCACATTTTTATCCATCACAAATAAAACTAAGCACTTTTTGAGATTTTTTGTTATTCTTTTGTTTTTGTGTACAGAGAAAATATTCAAGAAATAATCAAATTTTTTATTCAGCAAATTTGTAAATATTTTAAAAGGTTATACTGAATTGTCTGTACATTTCTTTGATTTCTTATTTGTTCTATACTACAAACACTATTCATGATAGAAATATCTGTTTTAATTATTAACTCCAATGTTCTTCCTACAATCGCATGCCGACGCTTTAATTATCGCAATGTTTTTTTACGACAGTTTGTATTGTGATAATGTGTGATAGCATACATACACACAGAATATAACGTTATATATGTTTTTGAAGCTAATATCACACGGGATTTATTAGTTTACAGCAAATTTATTTAGCAATAATATTTAAACTATACGCAAATACAAGTTAGGTGTAGAAATTATATTACAATGTTTTTTCAATATATGAAGATATATTTGTTTCTATATCCAATCGTTCGTTTTTTTTTCACTCGATTGATTTTCAGACACTTTCTCGAACAAATTGAGTAATAACGAGACCGTAGTTGGTAACATAGCCAATCAAGAAACCGTTAACGAAACGAAACCGACGAAGGCACTGCCATTACGTGTTCAGAATATAAGGAAGACCAGCATCTCTATGCCCAGCAAACTCGACAAGATGGACGATCTTCGAATAGACAGGCAAAATGTAAGTCGAATTTGTATGTTAACAATTACAATTATGCTCAACGTGTGTGAAATCATTCTTGTAATAATTTTCTTTTTTTAAATATCCTACTTTGTAAGTAAAAATTGATTACACAAAGATATGTTTTAACCAAAGAAAATAACTTTGTGATAATACTTCATAAATATGTAAAAACTAGAATGCACAGGATGTTGCCAACGACAAAATTATGCTACAAAATCTAAACATATATTTGTACATATAAATATATATTTGTTAAAGTTAAACAGCTCTTTAAAAATCAAACAATAACATTGCGCATATTTCTCATTCGCCGAACAATCATCGACTGTCTAACGACGAGAGAAATGTTACTTATATCGTATCTTCGTTTTTTATCACAAGAGGACTTCAGTCTCTCCCTAATTACCGTTCATCTTTACTTTCGAATCTCGTTAAAATCAAGGAAATAATTTGGCTAAACTAATTCCAAGTTATTCTTGAGAATGATTAGTGATTATATTATGATAAATTACGATACTGTCTTGTAATTTGAAAATCTTCTATTGTGACGTCTTACGCACGTCACAAAAGTATCAGTAAAATATCGGAGAATCAACTGTTGGTAATATGTGTAGAAACGATGTCAAGGATCGTAAATATAGCTCCATATATTCCTTGGAAAGAGCCTTGACTGGCGTTACTAGACTCAGATCCGTCATTCCAAAGGTGTGTTAAGAGCAAGACGTTGCAGGACGAGATTTAGACAGTGCTAAGATTTTTCAAAAATAGTTTAGAACTTGTATTACACACTACATTGTTAGTTTAAAATATTTTAGAGACATTATGTTGTATAATATAGCAATCATTTTTCTTTTTTGATTATTATCTGTTATATAATGTACACGCGTTACAATATACTACAGAATATTTAATAAAACTGAGATTTCTTGCTACGTCAATGCGCTGCTTTACGTAATGTTTATCATTTGCAAACTATCCGTAAGAAGAGTGCAGCATTCTATCTCTAGGACCGAACAGTTCTTGCAGACCGTTTGATATGAGTGCATCATCGTCTCGTGCGCGACATGCGATGTTATCTATTTTTAAGTTTGCTCTTTTTTAACGATTTTTTATATTTGCTTTCTGTTTCTTTTCTTTTCTTCTTCAAAGATTAACTGTCTGTTTTATAAATGTTCCGTGTTTTATAAATGCACGCAATCTAAATTAAATATTGAAAAAATAATTTTTTTGCATATCGTGAATTGGCAACAAAGTGAAAAAAAAAGTTTTTAGCAGTTTTTTAATAATTCAATAATTGTTACAAAATGTGATGTTGATACAAATGCTAAAATTGAAAGCTAATAATTGTTCGGCGGTAAGCATTTTGCATCAATTATAAAAATGTATCGACATGCAATCAATTTAATCGAATTTTCTCGAAGAACGTACAACCGCAACAAAATAGTCTTATATAAGGAACATCGTCGCACAGTGTAGTTGCTACGATAATTAGCGTATCGCTAACGATTTTGGAAAATTTTAACACGCGAATGACGTTACTCGAGAAGGAGAAACGCCGATGTGTCGTGAAATATTTCGTTTGCCAAAGTTGCTTGACAGTTTGACACACGCGCAATACGATATGGTACAAACTGATAAAAACAATAAAATTTTCGGTTTTTATACTCGATTGTCCGAGTCAGTTCCAATTTTACACATTTTTTTGTAAATCGAAATTTTGTGCATTTTTAATATTTCGTATTTTCTGTTTAGTTTTATATTTATAGAAACGTACAAGGTCTGAACAAGTATATAAAAACGAAAAATGTAGATTATCATACGTCTTATCAGTACACATATCAAATGGTATTTTTTCATGAACCGTGTGTCAATACAAAGTAGTGCAAATACACGTAAATTGAGCGTGTCGAAACGTAGCTCTGCTCTCGTCAAGTGTCAGTGATCGATGTGACTGCAAAGAATCTTGTCGTAAGATCGACGAGAATGATTTATAGCGTCGTTCCGTGAATTTGATGTATTTTGCACAAATATCGATTCTCGTTTCACGCGTCGAATGCAGATTGTGATGTTTCAGGGCACCGCTTCGAAATTTACGAGAGCAGAAAGCGACACCAGCAGCAGCGTGACTTTCAGCAACAGCGGTTCGACGCCGAACGGAAGTCCTCTGGGCTCCGAAACAGAAGAAGAAGCGAACGATGATGAGTTCGCCAAGTGAGTGTCGGATTTTAATTATCGATTGAGAAAAGATTTGCTGCGGATTGGACGAATAAATTGGAATCAAAATTGAAAAATCACTTGTTGCAAAAAAATTGTATTTATGAGTCAGAGTTTTCACGAATTTCTTGTACGAATCCGAGAAACATCACACATGTCTTAAATATTTTAATATTCACACTGATACTCATATCGATACGACACATACATGATGTTACATATAGCGATGTTTGACATTCTAATATCGATTTGGTTCACACTTGAAGAAACCTGTTCCAACCGCTTAAATCCATAAATAAATTCATAAATACTACCGAGCTTGGAAGAGTTGAAAAATATTCCTCGTGCAGCTGATCGCGAGAGGTGGACACCTTGGGAGCAATTTTCTCTCAACAATGTGCACGGTAAATGCGCAATTTACATTGTAACAACCGACCAGACGCACACGCACGAGATACCGATGTTTACCGTCTGTTCTCAGTTACTATCGCGTGCGTTCCGAACTGAAACGGGTGTTCCTAATCCGACCGTATTCACGGTCATCGTAAACACCATCGTCGTCGGGTCCGACCTTTGTATATATCACTTCAGGGTTATCGTGTTATCAGAGTTGGATTCCCAGAGTTGCTCGTTTCGGCCAACAGTCACCATTCGATCGTTACTGCAGCTTCTTTATTTTTTTTTTTTTGTGTACACTTGTTAATTAATTTTACTGTTTTTCTGTTTTAAACATCAAAAACATGCGAATATTCAGTGCGTTTTCAAAATATATTTTATTTAGATCCTCAGTGTTCTTTAACTAATTATGTAGTTTAATCAAGAGATAAAAATTAAAATTTGATCAACAGTTTATCATTAAAAAAAAAATTGTTTTTCTCTGGAATATTTGTTAAATAATATATCAAGATGATTCCTAGATACGATATTGGTAGTGCAATGTCCTTGCAAAGGTATAACCTGTGTGCAAATAGTTATTTTTTAATTTTAAAATATTTTGAATTTTATTCTTCTGTGGTTTTGAACGAGAGAAACAAGATTGATTTTTTTTCTCTTATTCTGTAGAGTGCCATTGCAGGCTCCACCACGAAGAAAAAGTAGAACCATGTCACAGTCTGTCAATGAGAAAATCGGAAACGACGCCGCGGAACTTTCGGGCGCGCAAAGTGCAAATTCCACAATAACCAGCGTGAACAGTATCAGCAGTCTGTTAAAAGAGAAATTGCAATTATCTTTGCCGCAGGCGTTGCGAAGCAGCGCGCGACGACAGAATGCTGACTACAGGTGAGATGAACGAAGTTAGGGAGTAAAGATAAGATAAACGAAATTTATATTTTGAAGAGAATCGAGCAAAAAGTGCACATGTTGATATAATTGATACAAATGAATGTTTTTATGTTCTTACACGACAAGTGATAATTTAATATTAATCATTAATTTTCAAAGTAATTAATCAAACAAAACTATTTTTTTTTTTCAGACTCAGAGCTTTTGTCGGTTTCCTCTTTCTCTGCGTTGTTTTTCTCGTAGGATTCGCACATATTTATTATAATCAACATGTTTTACAACGAGCTTATTTCGACAAGTTTAGGTAAGTATTTATAATCCGAGAAACACTCGGACACATTATTAATCAAAGTCAAACAAACAATCCACTAACTGTCTACGTACATACAATTAAATAATTGTCTAAGTACCATGATTAATTATGGTACCTAGTATTTCGATAGTTTGCGATGTAGAGCCGCTTGCCTACTGTGAAATAACTTTCGGTCGTTTGCCTCTGCCAGGAAGCAGCTAATGGAATACATTAAGGCTCATTTATCTCGTGCCAGTCTCAAAATGCGTATTCAATTGTTAACACAACGCATACATTTAACTTTTTAAGGTCAATATTATCTCAGAATCACAGAAGAAAAAGTCTCGTCGCAATTATCGATATTCAAAATATGTCATGTAGACCGAATCTCTTTTTTTTTCATTATTTTAATAATAAATACTTTATAGAATACTTTTTATACTTTTGTTTTAATAGTTCTTTTCCTTTTATTTTTCATGAAATTGACAACAATAATTTTGTAAGCTTCGCCATTCATTATCTTGTCAATTTCTTTTCAGGTTTAACAAAAATGAACGAGTAATGAGAGTTTACAGTAGTACAGGCGCGGAAATCATCGGCGCCCGACTCGGCGAGGGCATTCCAGCGGAAACGGGAGTGTATCCTTGTCTTCTCCATCATCAGAGACAAGACGCAGTCTGTCTCGAGTGGCTGCATCAAACGCGGCTCTACTTGGCGCATACAAAGCGCGAGGACATGCATTGCTATCACGTGACCTGGCAAAGTCTTAGTCCCTATTACAATCCCAAGGACTGCTTCGACTGGTCCCCGAAGAGAGGTCATTGGTACGGCGCCGGTCAGATTCAGAACATGGCGTATCCGCTCGAAAGAGGTCGCTTGGAGCTGAGTCCCTTTATCACGGGTGACGTGAGAAGGCATCCTTTCGGCAACGTGCTGAAGCGATATTTCCTCAACTCGAAAGGTGCCACAATCCTGGTGGATCCAGAGACGCCGCTGTACGTTTCTATCAACGCCAATCGAACCAACGACTTCTGTCTTCAGGCAAAACACGACGGTTTTGCTTACATCAATCACCTGACACCGCTACCTCAGCTTAATTACACCATCTGCGCCACCGATAACATGAAGAACCTGCACTACTCAATGGCGGAGAAGTCTTTGTGGGACGGTTTGAAGCCTGATGAATTGCACGCCGTTCATTCCTTGCTATCCGAGCCCGTTTGGCAAATTGTACCTACCAATGAAGCGGCCATTTATAATTACACGGAGGACGTGATTGCATTGGGATTTCTTCGCCAAGGGCACGTCTTGTTGAGCGAGGAATGGCAATCTTATTCGGGAGATTTTGTTTTGGACGAGGAGCGCTTTCCCTCTATGGAGGAAACTATTAATATTATTCATCGCAGAGGATTCAGAATAGTCTTTAGCATCCAGCCGTTTATTGCCACAGAGTCTGTAAACTTCAAAGATGCTGTCGCTAATAGATTATTGATTTCTGAGAGAGGAAGCGATCCTAGAATTCCAGCGTTAACAAGGTTATAAGACATTTTAACAATGACAATGTTAATCTTTTTACATCGTTTGTGTTTTGAGTAATCAGACTTTTATATTTTTAAATTCAGTATAATATTCTTTGAAAAAAACTACACTTATTACAAAATAAAAACACCTATTGCAAAAACTCTATATCAACTTTCAGATACAAACAAAGTAACAGCGCCGGCGTACTGGATATCACGAATAACAAAACTTTGCCGTGGCTTCAAGCAAAACTCGAAAGTTTGATCAAGAAGTACAACGTAGACTCATTCTACCTCGATCTTGGCACCGCCCAGGATATGCCGCATTATTATAAATGCGAACAACCTCTGACAAATCCCGATCATTACAAGACCATTTTTACTCGCTCGATATTAGGCACCATTCCCGTGATTGGCGTTTCCAGCGCCATTTCCAGACCACGAGCTCCCGTTTTCGTGTCTCTGCCTCCCTTTCCCTCTTCCTGGAAGGCTATCAAGACTGTCATTCCCACCGTTCTCAATTACGGCATGATCGGTTATCCGTTCATCATGCCGGGAGCGGTAGGCGGTGACGTGGCGCTCCCGATGTCGGACAATAATCCCGATAACGACTTCGAGGTGGATCTGCCCGACAAGGAGCTCTACATCCGTTGGCTGCAGTTGTCCACCTTTTTGCCTGTAATTCGCTTCACGCATCTACCCAGCAAGTACTCGGATCAGTCGGTTCTGGAGATTGCCAAGCGACTGACCACTCTGCGACAGAAAACGGTAACGCCATTGCTGAAGAAGTACGCGAACAAGACTCTAGACACCGGTTTGCCCATTATCAGACCGCTCTGGATGCTGGATCCGGCCGATCCGGCTTGTCACGTGGTGGTCGACGAGTTTTCCGTGGGCGAAGAGTTGATCGTGGCGCCGGTGCTTTATTCCGGTAGCAGACAGAGAGAAGTTTATTTGCCAGCCGGCGTATGGAGGGACGGTATCGACGGAAGTCTGAGGAAAGGCTCCAGATGGATTCACAATTACAGAGTGGCAGAGGACAAAGTGGCTTATTTCGTCAAGATGCCGGATAACACGAGATTCTGAAACGAATGCAAAACAGTTCCGCCGTTTTACGATGCGTCATCGAAGAATTCCGGGAATATCGAAATCCCGAAGCGTTTTATCACTTTTAGTGATTGCACTTTATATAATGATGATGCAGTTTTAATATCATATAAGAGTTTTATTTTGATACACTCGTTGATCTTTTTTTTTTTTTTTTTATTCATATGAAAGTAGTAGCATAAGCTTTTGTTCCTCGATAAATTCCTACAGTGCTGAAAAATAATTGTGCGATAGCGGATATACGTTATATTGTGTTTTGAAGTCACAAAAACTTTACACGCGTGCGGAAGTAGAAGTAGGCGATATTTAATTTTTTAAACATATTTAAAAAACATTCCAACAACGACTAACAAAACGTCCTGTGTGAACTTTGAAAAAGTGCAGCAGAATAGTTATGGAGTGATAAATACTCAATGGCGTATAGAGTCATAAGTAACGTCACTTGAACGTGCACCGAACAAATGCATTATATTCAATAAAAATGTATCGGAAAACTTTGATTACAGAAATTAAATCCACACTTCTTACCATATTTTTCTGGTAGGATTATTGTGTACTACAAATATTGTTACTATTACGGTGTATATAGTATATATATACACACACAAGTGATCACGTTAAGAAAGCAAGTATAAGTTTAATTTCTGTTGATAATTACATGTATTTTACCTAACGATGCGACTCTTTTCTGTCTGTATTATATGTTAGTTCGTTGAGGGCGAAAGCCTGCAGCGCATAATGCTTTTTAGCTTTGTGCGAGCACCAGAATCATCGGCCAATTGCAATTTGGGCCTCGGAATTAAATTAAACAATTATCAAATCGTGGTGTTAGCACGCGATTCAGCACGAAGAGAAGCATTCGTGCGCCGCGGGCTTAATATTAGTGAGAGACTGTGAAAATAATAATTGTAATAAAATAAAAAAATATACACATATTTGACCAGAATGCACAATTCGAACGCAGTGTTGCAGGAGACGCACGGGCTAGTTTATTTTTTTTTCCATTACAAACTTACATGACATGTGAAACAAAACACGTAAGCATGCAAAAGCAGAATCGAGACCGGCGTGACTTCTGGTAGATTCGACACTTCCATTTACAAACTGCGAACAAAACGTGTTCTTACGTTAATCGTCACAAATGATGTGATTGTAGAGATAAATGTTTGCACTGTGTGTCTGTTAGTATCGAAAGCACCATAAATATCACGTCGGTCCTGGTCCTCGTGCAAAACATCTCGAACACGGCTGATCTACGGTCGATCGACGAGGAGAAAATTAAGACGCGTGTGAGGCACACAGGCGGAAAGATTCTAAGGTATAGTGTATATTTATTATATTATCATTCTTTTATATCATATATATAGCATAACATTATTTCTATAATAATAATCATAATAATAATAATCATAGCACCATGAACACTCCACAGTAAGTTCTTTTTTTTTTTTTTTTTTTTTAATTCGTTATTCGAAAAAACGCGACACGTCGACGCACTGCGACGGGTGAGAACCGCGATCGTTTTATCGTGGAGAGAAACTCGGACAACACCAAAACTGTACGGAACAGTCGAACGACTTTCAAAGGGACATTCTAACTCTTCGAGCGTTCTTCGGATATTTCTCCAAAATCATTATTGATCTCGTGTTGTCCGCGCGATTACACGTGTTACTTCCGTTACCGCGGTGACTAAACAATTCTTGACCGAATGTGACTAGACAGTCTTCTTTTGGTTTTATACTAGGAAACGAGACTTCTCTGACTAGATTCCCGCAAGTGTTTCCGAGAAGATTTCGTGGCGAAGGAAAGGCGCTTCTTTTTTGATTTTGCTGATATCGATCCTTTTCGGGTCGGTAAGATAAAACAACGATTATAAAAAATTACGTATGAGAGCAAATTGAAAAAAATGAGTGCAAAAAACAATTGCTTTCTTACGTTGCTCAAGAAAATACGAGTGATTTACAATTTTCTTGTTAAATTAGCAATTATAATTCTTGATTGTTGTTTATCGGAGAGAAATCATTATTTTTTATCACCGTTCTCACCCTCGTCGAGCATCCGTGTTTTGAGGGGTTCGTACAGGTGTTGTGAGGCTTACATTTTTTTGCACATTTCTCTTACTCTCCCACTCTCTATTTGTCTCTTTCTCTCTTTCTCACGCTATCTTATTTACTCCTTTTTTTTACGTACTTTGTTCATATATATTGTATATATATAACATATATACTTTTTTATACTCTTCTCCCTCTCATATATATCCTGCTAATCTCTCTCTGTTTCAGTAAAAGCTCGTTCCTAATCTTGTATTTGGTTTTTTTGTTTTTATTTTATACTTTTTATTTAAATTACTCCAATAAATTCATTGTTTACTTAATCTATCCTGCGCGCATCATCATCGATCGACAATAGCTTCATTTTTTTTAATATTTTATTAATTTATTTTGTTTTCGTTAAATTGAATTTTATAATTTTAACATCCTACCTAGATAACTGGTCATTATATTACTTGTTAATAAATAATACATAAATACATAGGTACATATTTCACCGTCATCATCTCTCTTCGGGCTCGTTTGTCCTGCATGTACGTATCAATGTGAGCGTGTTATATAAGAACTTCCTTCTTTCGCGGACAAAAAGAGAACAATGATAACGGTGATAACGAACCCGCTCTCGCGAACATAATTATAATATGTAATAATATTTAATAGTAATCGCGCGCAATAATAATAATATTAGCGTAATAATATTAATTGCAATGATAACAAGCATAGTCGTTTAAAAGTAATTGGTATGGTAATATAATCGTATTTATAACAATATTTATCGATCGTATCTCTTTTCTTTCTCGATGTTCTTACTTCTGCTCTTACACGTTTTGCTCCTATTAATAAACTTATTTAATTTTTTTTCTCATCTTTTTTTTCACCGCACTTTTTTCCTTTCTTTCGCTATACTCGACGAAATCGAATCTTAATCGTGCACGACTTCGCCGAAAACAAAACACAACATATTATAATCATTTGCAGACTTTTTTTCTACAACCAATTTTCATCGAATTACAAGCCTTGCTGCATCTGGTGAGCGAGATGTAATGTGATTACGCGAGCGAAGAATGAATAATAAATAATTAGAGACAAAATGATGAATGAGTGTGTGTTTGTATGTGTACGTATGTGTATATGTATGTGTGTACGTGTATGGAGAAAAAATAAATCCCGCGATCAGAACAAAATTGTATGTAATTTACAGGCGGTAAAAAACTTACGCACTAATCTATAGAAATCGGACCCGAGGGCCACGCTATCGCGTGTCGATTGCAGCGACAAGACAAATCGTTTTCTCTCTATCTCCATCCACGTTTTTTTTTTTTTGCTAATCACCATACCTCAACATCATCTTCAACGATCGGTCTAATCGAGCACCATCGTTTCTCGTGTAGGCACGAATGTGTCTCGTATAGAGGAAAGCTTTCTCCTATTTTCATTCGACGAGATCCATCCCTACAGTCGTGGGATCGGACATGTTTCGATCGGACAATACGTAACGTTAAAGAAGACATCATAAATACGTTCTTTTTATTCGTAATCCGATGGTAGGCGGTCTCGTATTTGTCTGACAATATAAAAAAAAAAAAAAAAAAGCTTTGTCTCACAATAAATTGTCACTTACGCCCATGGATCTCGCAAGAATAATGAGTAAAGGTGTCCTCTATAAGTTACAGTTCGGGTAATCGCGCTTAATCGTACTTGTCTCTCCGTCTTACCTCTTGTATATCGATTCTCTTTGCGTGTATTCTTTCGCAATTTTTTTTTTTTTTTACCGGTAATAAATCTTTTCTGCGTACAACGCGCTTAGTATAATCCCTAAATCGCAGCCTGAACCGACACGTTTTGATTTCGATCCAAAGTTAAGGGCGACAACATTGACTTGACATGACGTCGGGATGTGACAATTGCGATCTAGGGTTACGCACGCAGGGTCGACACTAAGTGAACATCTTAAAGTACAGCTACACAAACGTTTACACTCAAGATTATACTTGGTACGACTCCGATACTCTCATTCTCGAAAGAGAAAGACGACCGGAGCGCTTTGATAGCACAAATATCTAAAAAGTTGAAATTTAGAATTTTTGTGCTGCCCAAGCAGAACTTACTTACTTTGCTGAGAATGTCGTCTGCTTACTGAAAATAATCACGTAGTGAGAATCTCGAATAAGCGCGATGTTCGATACGTTCTCCCTCCGAGTTATCAGTCGCTATCGTCATTGTACTATCATCATCGTCGTCGTCGTCGTCTCGTCAATCCGTCTTTTTCTATCTCTGACTTTACAATAAAATATCCTAGTTGAGAAAAAGTTAAGTACAAAAAGTTTCATCGATCTTAATCGATTTTTTCGAATGGATTCGCGTGACGCTACGCTGACTCCAAAACCGTCAAAAACGAATCCGGGAGTCCATCTGGAAATGTCTACTCAAAGGACAGTGATCAGTTGTCCTTGTGGTAAATAATGTGTTGGTACATCTCAGAAAACAGTGATCGAATGTAAAACAATCATTCAGACAAATATTTGTCACTCTATTTGCCCGATTGTGTAATTTGTCATAATGAACGATAACGTGATTTCATTGTTGTTGCAAAGATTCGATCATTGATCCAGCATTTGGCGCTTCATCAAGCATTCAGCAAGTTTTCCCACATCTCCCAGTAATTAAACTTTCTCTTTCGTTGCTCTTCTTTTTTTTTTTAGAGAAAATTCTTTAACTGTCTTTTTCTTTTCTTCGAGGAAGCTTCCTCGCAATATCTAACGATTGCAAACTTGTTTGTGAGGCGCTACAGTGACTTAGGTGTCATAAAGTCTCTTTCGTACTGTTGGCTGATGAAATTTGATATTAATTCTTGTAGAAATTGTGGCGCAGTCGTAGTCACATGCGCAAGCTGAGCTTCTCTTTATTTCACGAAGACAACGTCATCGTCCACAAAGATCTCAAATAAAAATCAACGTTTTCAAAAATTCTAACGATCACTGTTCTCTGAGGTTATACATTCGCGTCGCTATTTCAGGAAACACAAAGATCTCCTCCGTTCTAAAGAAACAATAAAAGCTGGACTGGTATTCCGTCGGATGGACGTTTCGAGATGTATCATCATTATCATCAATCATAACATTTCTCAGATTGCTTCGTTTGAGAAAAATTAACCTCTCGTCAGACTCTCTTCGATTATATATAACGTTTGGCTTGCATCGTCCGCGCGGATCTCAAGACGACGGAGCAAATGGGAATCTGCCACACAATCACCGGCTCTCGTAATCTCTATTCTCTACGATATAGAAACACGATACAGATAATTGTATCCTATCCTAGTACTTCCCGACGGATTTTTAACCGTTGTTTTTTTTTACCTACGCACGAATAGACATGTACGACGAGAAAGGGAATCATTTAACAATGAAGGATAATGTTTCGAAGGTAATGTGGATCATTCACTTCGATCCTCATTTCGCGTGTCTGTTTGAGAACGATGATCCGCCGATCATCATCACTGATCAATCGGATCTTCTCGTCCTCGATATATGAGCGCGTCATTCAAGCGCGCATTCCGTTCGCGATGTATCTTCTCGGGGTAAAATGTTTCGTGGTATTTTTCTTCTCTCGTTTCTTTGTCTTTGCATTTTTGTTTAAACTGATACACTGAATTCTACGCGGTGCTTTTAAAGCGGCAGCTGTGTCAAAGATATTAAAAGTTTTTTTTTTTTTTATTTTAATCTGCTTAATTGAGGAAAAGGTGGGACGAGGAGGTCTCTCGCGTCGGAAGTGATATTGTGATCGTTCTCGGCCCGCCTGAATCACGCGGATCAGAAATTAGAATATCTTATAGTCAACTTTTTTTTACTCGATAACTAAGTACAGATTGTCCCAGGCTGCGGTACTTTCGTGTCGTCGTTAATTCGCGATTGATCAACAGTACATGAATACGTGCGAACAACGTTGTGATCGTCGTCCTTCTTGGCGCAAAACTTTCGTGAGAACGAGTGTACTTTGGACTTGTTCTCGATTTGAGCAGTAATTAGGTAACAAGCGCCACTCGCACATCTATCGATGCTGCGAACAGTGCAAAAAGTATAGAAATACATACATACATTTTTTAGTTACCAATGACCGACACTATTGGACGTTACTGTTATTCAATACAACGTGAGTCTCGCAGTCGAATGTGAAGAATTCTCTATCAATAAACACGGCTTCTTAGAATAAGTAATTAATCAATTTATATACCTTGTATTCGTGGGCAAAGAAAAATTCCTATCTATTTCTTGATTCTTGTCGCACCATTTTCTCACGAAGAAATACTGGAAAAAACGACTTAACTTAGGTTAAAAAGTCTCACTCCGAGACCAAGCGTGATCGAAAGTCTTATTTGGGACAATCTCTACATTGTTCGGTTAGAATGTCTAGGGTCCTGCTATAGGCCGCTACCACGAAGGTATTTCAAAGATATTCGAAATGCCGTTTGTGTTTGTTCTCAATCTGTTAGAAGGAAGTCAGGAAATCAACCTGACGGGACGGTAGGTTGGCCTGCGCACAACCTTTCTTCCTTTTTGTTTTTTCTTTTTATATAGGAATGGGTCCAAAAACGGAATGATGACGTGTTCCCGGACGCCGCTCAGAACTCGACTATTACGGCTGAGCAGGCTGCCAATCCCTAGAACTCGAGCCTGTAGGCGCTGCAGCTAGTCTCGTGATCCTGGAGATTGATAGTGCATCGGGACGCGGACGGTGACAGGTCTATGTGATTCGCCGCGAGCGCCTCCTCGTTGTCGGCAACCCAGTATCCCAGAGTATCAGTGTCATAGGTCGGAATCATGGTTACCTCTGCGTTAAAAATATATACATGTCATTCATGCGTACACATAACATACACGCAAAACGCGTAAACTGCAGTTTTGTTGCCTAGTTTTAAAAATTATTTAACTATTAATAATTTGGCTGATCATATACCGAGATCTTTGTCCTCCCAAGTCTTCTTAGCTTCCAGTAGAGCGTCATAGACCTCTCGGCTGGGCTCAGTGCCGCTGAAGACATAATATCTTGCTCGCACTCTCTTAAAGAAATCCAAGGACGTGTAGTAGGAATTTCCATGATGCGGCACATAAGCTAGATCCATATAGACAGGTTGAATTTTGTTCTTCGAATCTTTTATCTTCTTCTCATTCTTGCTGGGACTCTCCGAGCGTTTCTTATTCTTGATATTCTCCGACTGAACTTTCTTCGCCTGTTTTCGCTCTTTCTTCGGTGTCCCCGGTGTTCCTTTATTCGAAATCTCATTGGTCACCGGTGCGGGAGATGGCAGTCTAAGAGGTTCTCCCCATTCTTTTGCGACGTCGAAGTTAAGAGTATCAGAAGTTGATTCGCTTGAGCACGATGGTTGAGATTGAGCAGAATTCTTTAGGTTAAATTTTCTTGGAGGTTTCGGAGACGGCAGTCCGAGAGGAGTTCCCCATCCCTCCAAAGGATCCTTCTTCGAGTCGCCTTTTGAGTCATCTTTAGTGTCATCCCGAAAAGAAGATGACGGATGATCTTTTGAATCGCTCGATTCGTGTCGAAGACTGCCGTTCGTATACCTAGGTGATATACCGCTACTTAAAGCATCGCTTGCCTCCTTCATCTCTTTGTGTTCCATCAGAGCTTTGTCGAAATCGAGATCGGCCTCGTCAACATATTTTTTGGCGTCTGGTTTCTCACCGTAACCGACAAATTCTTTCTCAACCGTGAAACGACTGTGAATGGGAATGGGATCGCTGCTCTTTTGCTGTATGCCAGTCTCCTCGTGGAAGGTCTTCATAGCGGACATTTGAGGCGGTACCGCCGGCAACTCGCCGTAGAAGCTGCTGCTCATCGCGGCCGTCGAGAACTCGACCTGCTTCTGTTCCTCCTCCTTGTCGGATCCCGGATCAAGGCGACGTGTGGCCTGCGGCGAATATCCCACTTGTGAAGTTGAGGACAGAGGTGAGCTGGGTGGCTCGTCGTCGGAATAGGTGTGCCGTTCTTCACTGCTACCCAACGTGTGAGGAGCTTTGCTTCGCGCGCTGCTCTGCTCGCTCAACGGACTACTGCGATCTTTCTCGCTGGCCGCGTCATCGGATGCAGCACTACCAGTACGTTGCATCTCCGAGGACTTGATGCTGCCAATAATATCGCTGATGGCGCTCTCCGCATCCTTGCTCGACAGACGTTCGTCCACTTTCACGTCGGTTTTCTCCGCCAGTATAACTGTCTCACCTTTTTCATTCGTCGTTTCCGTAACCTCTCTAGTGGTTGTCACTATTTCACCCTCGTCAGATATCGTCTTGGTAGTTGTAATTATGGTTCGAATCATTTCACCCGATTTTAATCCTTCTGGTGTGCTAGATAATCGACCTTCGGATCTTATGTCAGGTGTCGATCTTCCTGACACTTGAGGTTGCACCGCAGCACCGTCTCTGATCAATGGCGACATTGGAATTTCTGGTGTGGATTTACCGGTTGAACCGCTAAATACGATGTCTTTAGGCAACGATATATCGGGCGAGGATTTGCCTGAATAACTCTTATCGTCGGATATTATATCTCGCACCAAGGGAGAAACCGGAGGTTCGAATTTTTCCGCGCCTAAGCGATCTTTTCCCGTGGAGTCAAATTTGTCTTCCTTGAGATCCGGTGTCGATTTGCCGGAATCGTAGAAGGTTTTCACGTCAGGTGTCGAAGTGCCTGATGTTGCAGTAGTGATGGTTTCCTTGATGATCTTTTCCGCAGACTTGGTGGTTTCTGTTGTGATCTTGCTCGAGTCAATCAATTTTTCCAACATTTCTTCGCTGTCCACAGTGTCAGTGCTCTCCTTCACGTCTTTCTTCGTGGTAATTTTGCCATCAGGACCGGTAATTGTAGTTACTGTCGTCACAATTCGCTTCACATCGGCGCTGCTTGTTGTATCAGATGCTCCTTCGTCGCTCACAACTCTGTAAGTTGCGCCTGAAGTAGGATCTGTGTAAATTTTTGAAGGATCGGTTTGCAAAAGTTCGGCATCTGGTAATTCCTCCGTCACGATCGTTCTCGTTGTTTTTGTTGTAATTGTCTTCACAAATTCACCGGAATCTTCTTTGGAATCACCTGGTTCTTCATCAGGAACGATAATTTCGCGTCTAATTACTTTTGTAATTACTTCAGGTTCATCCTGCTCAATGATCTCCCGTTTAATGACTTTAGTGACTACTTCCGGCTTGTCATCCGGTTCAACAGTCTCCCGTTTGATAATCTTGGTAATCGTTTCCGGAGCATCTTCGACTATTTCTTGTACCACTTTAGTTACTTTCTCGGGTTCTTCGCCTTCAATCACTTCGCGTTTGACTATTTTTTTAATTACAATAACTTCGCCAGTAGATTCAGCCGTAGAATCAGATTTCTCTGATGTTGCTTCCTTTTCAACAGTTTGCGATTCCGGTTTTTCTTTGGAAGATTCTCCTGTTGAGATTTCCGCAGTTTCTTTTGTATCGACAACGTCTCGTTTTATAGTTTCCGTAACTTTATCGTCATCTTTCGCACTTTCCTCTGGAAGATGAGGTTCCGCAATTTTGCTCTCTCTAAGTATGACAGTTTGCATAGGTTGTGCAGTTTTCAAATCGTCGATATCCGTTTTCGTTATATGAGTTGTGGTCAGTGTATGTTCAGGTAATTTACCGGATGCTCCATCAGCATATTCTGGCGTTGATTTACCAGAAAGTGTAGTTATGTGCGTCGTTCGCATCTCTGTCATACCACTGACGAAAGCTTTGTGGAATTGGCTCTCGTAATCCATTGGATAATCGGTAACAGACTTGTCCTGTCGTTCACTCGATTCTGCGTACATGTCCACGCCCATCGAGGATTTTCTGGCGTCATGTTCCAGGTCATCGTAGTCATTATCATAATCATAGCGATTACCATCATAATCATCACGATGAATACCACGTACATCTTCCCGCGCTTCATATCTATCGAGAAGTATAACTTCTTCGTCGAGCACGGATTCTTTCGAGATTTTCAACTTAATTAAGATATTGTTCAAGATCTCGAAAATGATATATCTGGATAAAGGAAAAGCGCTATCGATTATTTCTCTAATCATTTCTTGTGTAATCTTCTCTTTCTTAGATATACACTTTTCCACAGTTTTTTCCAAAAGATTTTCAATTTCTATTTTCTTTTCTTTCATCGTAAATTCGTCGTGTTTATACTGTTCCCATAATGGTGGGCTGCCCCGAGTTGATTTGTCAGAAGGAACAGGTTCTGGACTGAGACTCGGACTAGCAGAAGGTGCGTCTTTGCTGTATCGATCGCTACCCGCGGGAGATACTTTGCCGTCGGAACTTTCATCTTTTGTAGTGTCACTTTCTTTTTCGTGACTCTGAGGATACTCCGGAGTGATACTAGATCTTTTCAAATCCACACTGGTCGGTATACTGGATTGCTCTTTTATCTCGTCTGGACTTTTTGCTCTGGCTTCTAAATCACCTTCAATTATGGTATTCCTAGATATTTGTTTTTTCACAATAATTTCTTCGATAATCGTAATGAGAATATATCGCGGCACAGCTTTGAGAATGACTATTTCTTCCAACACCACCGGCGTAATTTTCTTTTTCTTCGCGATATATTCTTCGTTTATATACTTTTCTACATCTGCTCTCTTCTCCGTCGTTACTGTTTCTTTGGATTCTTTCTCGTGTTTAGATAATTCTTCATCAGTGAAGTCAAAGACAGCGTTTCTGGATACATTTTCTCGGCTGATGAGATCTTCTATTATTTCCATTACTATAAACTGCGGCACTACATATGTCATAACCAATTTCTCAATTATTATTGAATTAATCTTCTTTTTCTTCACAATAAACTCTTCCAAAATATACTTTTCAATATCCGCCTTCTTCTCGGCTGTTATTTTAACAATATCTTCTTCTACGTCGTAGGATTTCTCCACTTTGCTCGACTGTACTGCATGTGGTTCTTCAAACTCAGCAAATCGCTTCTCGCGAATCTTTTGCATTTCTTTCTCGATTGTTTCGACAGAAGTTACGGGACTCTTCGTTGGGCTCTTATGTTCCTCTTGTTCATCAAGTGGTTCTCCGGTGTGCTCGGAAGTATCCTTTTCTTCCGGAGAAATCGCCTTTTCTGTTGGTTTATCCTCGAATAAACTAGATGTTCTGGCCGGTATCTTCTCTCCGACATCGAAAACGCTCTGCGAACGCGATCTGTCTTTTGGAACTTTGTCCACTGGCGAACTGGCTTCCGATTTAGCAGATTCACTTGCCGGAATTTGTCCAGCTTGCAAACTCGATGACAATGATCGCTCAGTTGTTTTTGCTTCTTGTAACGAAACTTTGTCAATGTCGTCAAGTTTTCCGCTTGCAATACTGGACGATCGAGATTTATCTTTCAGATCAATCTTGTCATCAATTAAGCTTGGCGATCTCGAGACTTCGGATGGTGATTTCGGTTCCGTTTTGTCGCTGATAATACTCAACGATCTCGTTTTATCTGTTACAGCCAACTCCTCAGTTACAGCAGATGTTTTTAATCCATCAATATCTACTTTTTCTAATGATGTTTTGTCATCTGGCTTATCAAGAACGATGCTTGGAGATCGCGATTTGTCGTGTGATGATAAAACAGTATCGTCTTGTTTTATGTCCAAATCTTTGGAAGCTGTCGAAGATTCTTCTTCAGCGTGTTTCTTATCCGGCATTTTCATATCGGTGAAACTCGGTGATTTATCAATAGCATCTTCGTAAAAATCTTTGGTACTGGTCTTATCATCTTTTTCATCGGATTTATCGCTAGGAGAGATAGAAAATTTGCTTCGATCACCAAGCGGCTCCAATTGATCTGAGACAGTAGGTGATATTGATTTCTCAAACGGTTCCGCTTTCTCAGTCGTGATGCTCACAGCACTAGACTTTCTGGATTTATCAGCCGGTGATTCTATTACATCTTTGAGATCTGGTTTCTCTTCAGTAACACTAGTTGCTCTTGAACCGTCGACAGATTTCTTCTCGTCAGATTTTTCACTCGCCACGCTCGGTGATTTGCTTCTGTCGTGTGGCTCTTCAATCTTATGTGGAGCTGTAGGTGACGTTGGTTTCTCAATTGGTTCCTTTTGGTCACTCGTGCTTATAACACTCGGCGATCTAGATTTATCAATTGGTATCTCCGATACGTCCTTCAAGTCCACTGTATCTCCAGCGACGCTTGCCGGTTTAGAACTAACTGCCGATTTTGCCTCTTCCGACTGATCGCTAGCCACACTTGGCGATAGACTTTTATCGACTTCTTCTTTCTTATCCAGAACCGTCAGCAATTTTACTTTATCTATTGATTCCTTCCGATCTGATGCAATGCTCGTAATACTAGGTGACTTAGATTTATCCAAGGGTTCTTCTGTAATGTCTGTCAAATCAGATTTATCTCCGGATAAGCTTGACGATTTCGAATCATCGGTTGATTTTTTGTCGTCCAATTTTTCACTCGCGCTCGGCGATTTGCTTCTGTCGATTGGTTCTTGTTGAATACCGGGAGTTTTCTGTTCATCAGTGGTTTTCTTTGATTTTTCGACTTGCTGATCTGCAACGTCCTTCAAATCCGGTGTTTCACTAATAACACTCGGTGATTTCGAGCGATCGATTTCTTTCTGTTCCCCGATGCTTACAACGCTAGAAGATCTGGATTTTTCAGTCCTCGCCTCTAGTGTATCTTTCTCAGTTGGCTTTTCTTCAGCAATGCTCGGCGACTTTGATTGATCTCCAGGTTCTTTCAGATCACTCGCACTAGGTGATTTTTTATCGGGCTGTTCCGCAACGTCTTTCAAATCCGGTTTTTCTCCAGCAACACTCGGTGATTTTGAATGATCAGATTGTTCTTTTTGATCTGCTGAAATACTAACAACACTAGGTGATCTCGATTTTTCATCGGGTTGTTCCGCAACGTCTTTCAAATCCGGTTTTTCTCCAGCAACACTCGGTGACTTCGAACGATCAAATTGTTCTTTCTGATCTGTTGAGACACTAACAACACTAGGTGATCTCGATTTTTCATCGAGTTGTTCCGCAACGTCCTTCAAATCTAATTTTTCTCCAGCAATACTCGGTGATTTTGAACGATCAAAGTGTTCTTTTTGATCTCCTGAGACACTAATAACACTAGCTGATCTTGATTTTTCTGTTGGTGGTTCTGTAACGTCTTTTAAATCTGGCTTTTCTCCACTCACACTCGGTGATTTCGAGCGATCTGCAGGTTCTTCTTTCTGATCGCTAGATTTTAGCTTCTCACTTAATTGTTCTGTATCGCCTTTGAGGTCTGACTTGTCATCTGTAATACTAAGAGATTTGCCTGCAGAATCCTTTTGATCGCCAGAAATGCTCACCACGCTAGACGATCTTGACTTGTCAACCGGTTGCTCCGCAAACTGTAGTGCAGTAGGTGATTTTGATACTGGAAGCTGTTCCAGTTTATCGTCCTTAATGCTAGGCGATCGGGTTCTTTCGACAGATAGGTCCATATCTTTGAGATCTACTTTTTCTACAGAAATGCTTGGTGATCTAGAACGATCACTTACTTTTTTACTATCTGATTTATCACTAACTACACTGGGGGATCTATCTTTATCATGTGGTTCTTCAGTCTTATCAATAACTTTAGGCGATTGTGGCCTATCAAAAATAGGAGATTTTGGTTTTTCTAAATAATGTTCCGTCACGTCTTGACGATCCAGTTTGTCCTCACCTAAGCTGGGTGATTTTGAACGATCGGCTTCTTTCTCTTCATCGGATTTATCGCTGATCGCGCTTGGAGATCTAGCTTTGTCAATTGGTCCCTTTTCATCATGTACACTCTCGAGAATAGGCAATGTTGTTTTTTCAGTTTCTTTTTCTTCGGCTTTATCGCTTGGAGGAGATTTATCTAAAGATTTAATATCGTCAGATTTCTCACCAACAAGGCTTGCAGATCTAGATTTATCTACTGGTTCTTTTTCATCGAGTTTTTCTGGTTGTTTAACCTCTTCTTTTGTTTCCTTCGGTTTTTCATCAATTTCTTTGGGTATTAATTTAGCGTCAGTTATCTTCTCAGTTTGTTTCTCTTCGGTAATACTAGGCGATCGTGATTTTTCAACTGATTTTTCTTCTTCAACTTTAGTAGTGGTAATAGAAGACTTTCTTCGTTCAGATACATCTTTATCGACCAGTTCGCCGATGCTTGAAGATCTAGACTTATCGATTGCATCTTCTTTTTCTTCTTTGTCACTGACAATACTAGACTTTGGTTCGACAAGTTGCTCAATAATTTCTTTTTCCACTATGCTAGGACGTTTATCCTCCACAACTTCTTCAGGAAGTTTGTCAGTCGCTATGCTTGGTGAACTGGATTTGCTTGCATCTTTGTCTTCTAGTTCAGTGAGTTTTAGATCTACTTTTACATTAACTACGATGTTTAATGATTCTTCGTCAGGATGAGCTAGCAAGTGATCAGCTTGCATTGATTTATCATCTGCGATACTAGGAGATTTCGAACGTACAGATATTTCTTTTTCGCTGCTTATACTTGGCGATCTTGATTTCTCGATTAAAGCAGTATCCAAACCTTTCTCATCCAATGCACTGGTAGCAACAATAGGCGATGTGGGTTTAGGACTGATATCTTTCGCGTCGAGCTTTTCTGGTCTTTGATCATCTTTTTCCGGACTCGGTGCTTTTTCTTTTTCCGTAGATATCGGTATATCTTTATCCGTGATTGATTTAGCTTCTTTAACAGGTGATTTTTCAGCAACCGCTTCGAGAGCAACGTCTTCTTCGTCAATAGGTGTTTTTGCAATATACATTTCAGGTTTGTCTGTGGGAGATTTTGAGAAAATTGTTTCGGCTGGTGAAACGTCTTCTGAATGAAGTGATTCAGGTGTCTTTGAAACATCAGTTCCTTCTTTTTCAGAAAGCATTTCAATTGGAAGTTTTGGTTTTTCAGCTGATTCTACTAGAACTTTTTCAGCTGGTAAATGAATAGATGATTTTGACTTTTGGGTGTCTTCGGGTATCACATCGAGCGGCGATTTTTCTTCTAAAAGTGTATCAATTGTCTTCGTGGAAACTATTTCATCAGTTTTCATTGTCTGTTCACATGATAAAGGAGATTTTGGTTTTTCGACTTTTTCTACAGGGCTTTTCGGTGATTCAGGTGATTTATCTTTATCAACTACAACTGGTGCCTTTGAATCTTCTTTTTCTATGGGAGATTTTGGTTTTACAGCCTCTTCCGACTTTTCTGGTACTTTTTCTTTGTCATCATCAATTGACAATATTTCAGCATCCTTTGACTTACGGAAATCTGATTTTTCTAAACTGTCTTCGAGATCTTGCGAATCGCGAGTACCGACAGGTGATTTATCTAAACTATCTTCGGAAGTAATTTTATCTTTACCCTCAGGTGCAGATTTATCGGAAATACTATCTCGAGGAGTACTCATGCTTGAGTGTGACGAATCTTTATCTTGTGTGGATTTGACGGTAATCTCTAACAATAAAGAATCTTTATCTGGTGTGGATTTGATTGATACGTCCTTAAGTGAGTCGTCCGGAGTGACAGTCTTCGTGAAAGTTATAGTACCAGTTGCACAAATTTCTGTTTCTTCTCTGCCATCTTCGCTACTTGCTGTGACTAACATTCTTTTTACAGTACTAGTGTCATCTTTTACAGGTTCATCTGTTAATTTTTCAATTTTAGGCTTTTCAATCTCGTCCTTTGTTTGTACTATTTCATCTTCCGCGTCTTTTAATATACTTCTCTTTCTACGTGCAGCTTCTTCGGGAATTTCTTCGGGAGTTTCTTCTTCTTTAACTACCGGAGTTTCTTTAATCTCTGTAGTGTCTAATTGCTTGAATTTTTTATCATCTTCATGTAAGTCTGTTTTTGGTTCAAACGAAAAGCCTGTTGCATCTGCAAGTTTTGTTTCTGACTTGATTTCTTTGGAAACTTTTTCAGGAACTTTTTCGATAAGTTGTGGCTCTTCTACTTTTTCTTTGATCATAGGCTCAATTTTTTTTGTCTCATCTGTCACAGCCTTCTCATCGACTTTCTCTGTACTCGGCGCAGTCGATTTAGCTTCAGGTATAGCAGCTGCATCGACAGACGGTCGTTTGTCGATAATAACTTCGGGGATTTTCTTCTCTTCTGCTTCTTTCAATTCGTCTGCTTTTTCACTTAGAGGTTTCTCTGGTTCATCAGAAACCGGTGA